AAATAATTTTATTTTAATTTATGTATTTAAAAAATTTTAATTTTTTTTGTTATATCTTTTTTATTTAATATATACATATTGCTCCATTCTTCTTCTGTCGTTTTAATACGTACTTCAAATTCGATACCCAAAGCCTTAGAATCTGCGATTGTGCCTTCTTGATAGTGATTTCGCGAAGCTTCGGTTACAGCCGGTATATGTTCGAAAACTGCAACTCTGCAAGTTTTAGACAAAAATTAAATTAACATTGTAATACATTGAAACAACCACGATTACATTTCTCATTCCGCTTACAAGATTTAGAAATTAAAAAATTTAAAACTCTGCTAGACTATAATATTTTTCTCTTAAGTACGCTATACATTAAAAAAATTAATATATATCACAGACTTTTTTCTTAAAGTCTGCGTTGAATTTATCTTTGAATTCATCGTTTAAAAATTAAAGAGCGTATCGATTTTCTTCTTCTTTTCTTTTTTCGGGTTTTCCATCTCATTGTCAGGGATAAAAAATTTACCATAATATTATATATACTAACCGCAAACCGTTGCCACGAAGATTCGCAGTTTTTGTTATATAGTGATTGTTACCGTAACGTAATTTGCCGTTCCGCCATGTGTCGATGTACTTGATCGCTGTAAAATCTTTCATAGGCGATGGATAGTAAATAGTCTCGAGATCAATTCGCTCAGCAGCAATTCGTTCACCGGAACGGTACTTGTACGTGTTGTATCGTCGTACAAACACCACATTAATGATCCGATTCCAAATATAGTGTAATTCGGGTCTAAAGAGCCGATTATCGTGCAGAAGTAAAAAACGACCACGCGTGTTGATCAGACGTTCTCTGCAAAGATCGAATGCGAATTAAGCGCCCAGTCTACTTAAAGGGTCAAAAAAATCGATTTTTTTATATTTTCTGAAAATATATTTGAAGAATATGTCTCTCTCTCTCTCTCAAATTTTGTTAAAAAATTCGCAAAATTGACGGTGGTATAAGACTTTAAATAAGATAGCAAGCGCATTTTTAAGTGGGCCTGCAAAACTTCAAACGCGTTTTTCTCAAAACACTGTTTTCAAAGTTGGTGTAATATCTTGAAAAGTATTGGATCAAATAACTTCAATTTTTTTTTAATGAAAGAGAGCACTTGGGATGATACTGAACCTAACATAAAATTTAAAAATGATTGATATTTAATATTCTTCTGCCCTCTTCAAAAAATAAAATTTCAGCAAAATTGAAATATCTAATTTTAAAATAACATTACTTTGTTATTTTTTAATTTTTTCTAATAGAATTAGTTTAATATCCCAGAAATATTCTACGGAATAAAACTAGATCAACTTTTTTTATTTCAAACAGTTGCATGAGGAAAGCATGTCACATCGCCGAATTATACATTTTTGAATATGCTACGCCCAGAGGCTCACATATTGAACAAAAAAAAAAGCTAAATATCCAAGATTTAAAAATACTGGCGTACTGTTTAAACATCAATAAAAACATATTTAAAACGCCAAAAGATCAATTCCTAATATTATTCAAAAAAAATTCTTTAAAATTATTAATTTTTCATATGCTAAAGATAAAAAATAGCGATAAATCTTTGTTGTGACACCTAGAAATCTACCTATATCAGCAAGACATTTTTTTGAGTGAATAGACTGAGTCCTTAATTGCTTACCTTTCGGCATATTGCAAGAATCGCGACGTTAGAAGTCCATTGGCGATTAGTATAACATACGCGTCACAACCTATCGTTTTGATATGTTCAAATATTCTCGTTAATTTTTTCGATCGCGAAAAATCTTGGTTATCGCGTATGGCGATCTGAAGGCAAATAGTACAATACATATTTATAAAGAAATGTTTATCATCAAATCTGATTATAAATTTGATGTAATTAAAAATAAGATATAAGTCATATGTGCAAATACATATAATTGTTAATTACTTATTTAATATGTTTCTCTTTATAGATTTTCGAAGTGGGAAATCTTTTGGCCTTAATAATACTTACATCATATTTTGATAAAAAAGAAGACATTTCAACAGAATGGACATCAATCAGCCCGCGATAAGTGGTATCTGTAATAAAGATTATGCAATTGCTGCGCGCGGCGATTTCCTCTATGATTTGCTCGATCACTGATTTCAGATCGTCTATCCCGCGCGTGCATCGATGTAATTCAAAACTTTTCCTGTAATATTATAGAGGTACTTTTATTTATTTGCAAATACTTCTCTAGAGATCGCGCATTTTTAGTGTAAAATACGCTTTATTGATCCACAGACTCTGATCACAGAATCAAGCAACACATCTAGATCATCTGTATTAACGATAATTAATTATAACAGCTATACAAGAGGTAAGTAATTTAAATCAATTAATATCCACTATAATAGAAATCAATTGGTATTAATGAACATAAAGTGCGAGTTTTATCTTCAATTTCATCTTTTATAATTTAATTACTCTTTTTTTTCCCAAATATATAAAAAAGAAATATTCTGCCACCACACACACAAATAAAATTCGCACGTAATGTTACTAAAATTGCCTCGTAATGTTACTTGCACAACGGAATTAATTTTTCTTTGACGATGAATTCGATTCCAAGCAATTTTCTTTTTCATTATTTCTCAATTTTTTTAAAACATTCATAATTGAATAAAAAAGCGCAACTCTTTTAAATATATTTCGTACATCCAGGAAGTGTACACTCTTTTGCTCGAACACGTGATCATTTTACATGAATTGTCCTACCTTTCGATGATAGCGCGGATAAATTGCAAAAAAAGAATAACGACCATCGTCGTTATTTCGAAGCGCATGTCGAAATACTTATATTCTCACTTGGCCTAGTCACATTCGAATCTTTCGTTTGTATCAAACTATCGATCTCTTGGAATTTTTTACCTCTTTGCGCTCTTTCGCGATATAAATCATTAATAATCTCGTTTGCAGACGATTGCGTTTATTTATGCAACATGATCGCCGGTAATCTCGCATATATCCAATCTATTTTAAGTATGTTAGACTCTGATTGATTCAATGAAAATCGAAACAAACGCCTTATTTTGTGCTAAATAAGTTATTTTAACCATTAGAATGTTGGTCTGATGAGAGAAAATTCAGATTCGTGAATATATATTTATTGTATTTAAATATATTCTCTCTGTGTGTCAACATTTTGAAATAAATAATTATCTGAAATAATAATTTAATTAATAATAATAAGAGCTACTTCTCTCTCTCTCTCTCTCTCTCTCCCCTCTTCCCCTCCCTCCTCTCTTTTTTTTTCTCTCT